GCTGACATCATATCAACCCCATCCGACGGACGAGATCGATTTGAAGGTGGTCCTGAATATTTCTTGGGCATTTAATTTCTTGCCTACTTTGCTTTTATATTAAGTATAAGTAGTATATAAGGATATAAGAATAAACTAAATAAATCCAGCCGTTACAACCAGGTCCTAGGTTAAAAGAGTTTAGCCATTAAACATGATTAAAGACAATATGCAATTAACAATGCTCATTGAAATAAATTCCAGAAATAAAATTAAAATTCAAAACAACGGAACCGAAGCACGCCGAAGTCTAGCCGTGAGAAATATGCTCGAGGTCGTCACTGCCGCTGCTTGCTTGCTTCAGATTTGGACACTTCTGTTTCTCTCGGCTGCAAGAAGCTCAAGGAGGCTGCTGCCGGTTTGGTTCTGAATTGATGCGCGAGGTAATGGAGAGGTGATGGCTGCGTAAAGATGATGTGCGAAGGAGATGATGGTTTTCTGATGCTGTTGCTGCGCGGCGCGTGAAAGACTAGAAGCAGGGTGTTGATGGAGAAAGCTGCCCGGTGGGCTGGTCTTATACGAAAGAGAAGAAGAAGTCAAAGCTGGTGGTGTGCGGTAGCAATGGTGCAACCGGGGGTCGGCGGCAGATTTTTTTCTGGTTTGGTCGAGTGTCTTTTTGGTGGACGAAGCTCTCCTTTTATAGATTTCTCCAAATCCTATTTCTTGGAGACTAAGAAATAATTTACCCTCTCCAAGTCGAATTCAATTTCTGCCAAAAATTAAGTTGCCTTCTCATCGCCACAAAGCTGAAACTTTTGCAAATTTGTCTTCGGCAAGAATGGGCAGCAGCTACAAAACTCCCGCAATTCAGCAACACTTGGGCTTCATATAAATCAATTCTCCAAGGATGCAACTCTCGGCCAAACCCAAAAGCTCAAATCCATGATTTAATCTTTGGCCCTCTAAGTCTTTAAGTTCTTCAACTTCTTCATTGTCAATTTTCATAATCTTCAATCCTGCCCCTTTTGAGTTGCTTTTATTTCTATTTTAGCTCAAAATTTCAATAATTCTTCATTTGAGTACAATTCCTACAATTAAAAATGAAATCACATAAATAGTACATTTATACTCAAAATATCGACAAAATCTCGCACTAAGAGATATTAAAAATCGATAAATTATATGCACATCAATGTCCCGCTGTGCATCTTTCTGGTATTGTTCTAAGGCCACTTTCTGGGAATGTTCTTCTGCGGTCATCTTCGGGATGGCATCATTGCATAAGAAAGTTGCATTTTCGAGACCTAATTTGTCGCAAACGGATTGGCCCGATTTTTCGTTGATGTCTATTGTAATATTTAGAATATTTTCTATAATGTCCTTGTTTAGGGTTTGTTATTGTCTATATATAGTCTGTATATTGTACATAACATCATTATGAATACAATACAATTTCCCTATTCTAAGTTGGTATCAGAGCTAGGTTTAACAAAACCTAATTTCCTGCTCGTGATTCCCTCTCTCCAGCAGCTTATCTTGCCTCTCTAGGTCAATGGCATGCTCGTTTAGGGCACTCTAATAATGTCACTCTTCGTAGCTTGGTTAGGCAGTTTCAACTCCCTCATTCCTCTGTGTCCATGTCCACTGATAAATGTAAGGCGTGTTGTTTAGGGAAGTTGCATAGGGTTAGTTTACCTTCTACTTTTCATTGTAGCTCTAAACCTCTTGATTTAATTCACACTGATGTTTGGGGCCCTGCTCCTATTTTGTCCTTCAATGGTTATCGCTACTTTGTGCTTTTTATTGATGACTTCTCTTTGTTCACATGGATTTATCCCATTAAGTATAAAAGTGATATTGTCCATATTTTCAAGCAATTCAAAGCTCTCGTAGAAAACCAATTTGGCACTACCATTAAAAGTGTTAACTCTGATTGGGTTGGTGAGTTTCGTTCTCTCAATTCGTTCTTTAAGGATGTCGGTATTGTTCATCGTTTAGCGTGCCCACACACTCATGAGCAGAAAGGCACTGTTGAATGCAAAATTCATCACATTGTCGACATTGGACTTGCTCTCCTTGGCCATTCCAGTACCCCTTTTCGGTTTTGGGATTTTGCTTTTGAAACTGCTGTGTTTTTTGATTAATCGCCACCCCAGGAAACCTTTTCAAGGTCACCTACCCTTCACTACACTATATCACCAGCCACCTGATTATACCTTTCTTCGTGTCTTTGGTTGCGCTGTCTATCCTCTTCTTCGCCCTTATAATAAACAGAAATTCTCCTTTCGTTCTACTCAGTGTGTCTTTCTTGGGTATTCTCCATCTCATCTTGGTTATCGCTGTTTTGATGTGGTGAATAACCGTCTTTATGTTGCTCGTCATGTTGAGTTTGATGAAAAACTCTTTCCCTTTAAACGTCCTATTTCTAGTTCTCCTTCTTCGCTGCCGGAGTCTCCTGCTACCCCTTGGTTGCGTGTAACCAGTTCTCCTGGTACGCTTGCGTCGTCTTCTGCGTCCTCTTTGTCTCCTTCTAGTACACCAGTTCTTTCGTCTCCTCTTATCCCTCCCGACTCATCATCTTTAGCTAGTTCTCCTGCATCCAGGTCTTCCTCAACTGATTCCAGTCCTCCGCCACCACCTCCTCCTTCTTCTTTCCGTCCGCACTCAATGACACTTCGTCCACAACCCAAGCCCAAGAAAATCTTTGATCCCTCGGCTCATCTTACCTCTGTTTCCCTAGCTTTGTTTACTGCTCCTACATCCTTCACCCAAGCCAAATCCTTTCCTCAGTGGCAGAACGCCATGAAGGATGAAATTTCCGCCCCCCTCAAAAATAACACATGGACTTTAGTTCCCCCTCCTTCTTCGGGCAATGTTGTCGGCAATCGATAGCTCTATAAGATTAAGACCCATGTTGATGGCTCCTTTGAGTGGTATAAGGCTCGGTTGGTGGCTCGAGGTTTTACTCAGTCTTTTGGGGTTGATTACACCGACACATTTAGTCCGGTTGTTAAGCTGGTCACCATTCGCTTGGTTTTGACTGTTGCCCTGGCTCGTGGATGGTCGATTTGTCAGCTTGATGTCAGTAATGCCTTTCTTAATGGTGTTCTAAGTGAGACCGTGTATATGGTTCAGCCACAGGGGTTTGTTGATCCGGTGCGCCCTCATTATGTGTGTAAACTGCATAAGTCCTTATATGGTCTTAAGCAAGCTCCTCGGGCTTGGTATTCTCGGCTGGTAGCATTTCTGCTTACCTTGGGTTTTGTGGAGTCTCGTTGTGATCCTTCCCTCTTTGTCTATCGCCATGGGTCTCAGTTGTGTTTTTTGCTGGTATATGTGGATGACATTATTCTTACAGGCAGCAGTTCTGGTTTGGTCCAGCATTTTATCTCTTGTCTTGCTAAGGAGTTTTCTCTTCGGGATCTAGGTCTGTTGAGTTACTTTCTTGGGGTTGAGGTTCGTCGTACTTCCAAGGGTTTGCTTCTCTCTCAGTGCAAGTATGTCACTGATTTGCTACGACTTGCAAATATGCATACTTGCAAACCTATTTCCACTCCTTTGCAGGCTAATGTTGTGTTGTCCCATTTGGATGGTACTCTATTGTCTCCTGATGATGTAACCTCTTATCGTCGGCTGTGTGGCAGTCTGCAGTATACCACTCTCACTCATCCAGATATCTCCTTTGCGGTTAATAAGATTTGTCAGTTCATGCATCAGCCTCGCACTTCTCATTTTCTGGCTCTCAAACGGGTTCTTCGCTATCTTCGTGGTACCGTTGATTGCTGTTTAGTTCTGCATCCTACGGATTTGGGTACTCTTACTGCGTTTAGTGATGCTGACTGGGCTGGTTGTCCGGATGATCGTCGTTCTACTACTGGTTTTCTCATTTATTTGGGACCTAATCTCATTGCCTGGGCATCTAGGAAGCAGCCCACTGTGGCTCGCTCGTCTACTGAGGCTGAGTTTCGCGCGGTTCCTATATCTGTGTTGAACTGCATTTGGTGTGTCATCTGTTGTCCGAGTTAGGCGTTTCTTTACATCGTCCTCCCTCTATTTGGTGTGACAACAGTAGTGCAGTTTTCCTTGCTGTCAATCCTGTGTTCCATGCTCGTACCAGACATGTTGAGGTTGATTTTCATTTTGTTCGAGATCATGTTCGGCGAAAGTTTGTTTCGGTCAAGTTTCTCTATGCTGCTGATCAGCTTGCTGATATTTTGACAAAACCCTTATCAAAAGAGTTATTCTTTCGATGCCGTGACAAACTTCGGCTTCTCTTTTCTCCGGCGTAAGTTTGCGGGGGCGTATTGTAATATTTAGAATATTTCCTATAATGTCCTTGTTTAGGGTTTGTTATTGTCTATATATAATCTGTATATTGTACATAACATCATTATGAATTCAATACAATTTCCCTATTCTAAGTATGTCCATCAACACACACTACTTTGGCTCCATGGTAGACGAAACCCAAGCGCCTATACCTTTAGCTGCTCCCAATGCTACTTTGCCTTTTAACCTGCACAAATTAAACTTGCAAAATTGAGAACACAAATTTTTGAAATTTAATTACTGTACTAAAAACAATGCTTATTGGCCATTTTTATCTCCCATTACCAACGTTCGGTGATGAAACGACGGCCATTTTTTGCACCAAGGGATAATTTTCACTTAAGACCTCTCTGCTAAACGTGCAAGGAAGAAAAAAGGAAACCACAGCTTGACTTTATAGCCTAGACGTACGTGTGTTTATGTATAAAATACTTTAGCTCAATCACCACCAATAATAGTTCACATTGAGTTTAGAATTTTATACTAAAAGTAATATAAATTAATCGAAAACTCAATATGAACTATTTTTTTTATGGACCAAGATAATAAAATATGAGGGAGGAAAAAAAAAGAAAAAGCAATCAATCTTGCCATTAACGCTTCAACGGCGCTCGTAGAAATCAGAAATAGTCTTGCTACATCGTATTTCGAGAACTTAAAAGTTTAAAACTTAATTTCTCCCAACAACAACGATGTACTATTACTTTCAACTTTCCTGTGTCCTTGGTTTTCTGGTTACTTGTGCATGGAAAACGTTGGATTTCAACTGGTTTCAGCAAGGACAACTCGAGAAGCAACTCCGATCACAAGGCATTCCCGGAAATTCCTACAGACCGGCCATCGTTGACATGAGGGAATATACCAAGATGATTAAAGAAGGTGAATCAAACATGTCGGGGATTGGTCGTTCTTCCGACAACGGCGATGATATTCATCCAGGAATTGTTAGTCGTTTCATATTTGAAACAGCCAAGAAATATGGTATATATGCATAATGCACGATCGCATAATCTTTCATCATTTATTTTATTTTATTTTATTTTATTTTGGATTATTTGATTTGGTTGAATTCATTAAAAGTTCAAACAATGTCAGGTACGGATTGTTTCATTTGGTTTGGATCATTTGATTTGGTTTGAAAAATGGGGAGTAAATGACCGCTGAAGAAGTCGATGAGATGATATAAGGAAGCTATATATTATGGATGGTAAATTGGTAATTGCCAAATAAATTACTTTTTTTGTTCTAAAATTATTGTCTAGTTTGAAATTTCACTTTTAGTATAATTTGAACTAAAAATGAAAATCCAAACTAGACAATAATTATGGGATATAGGTAGTAATAAGGAATTTGCTAAGAAGGTCTCTTCTACGTAATCATGGATGTGCATCCTTCTGGGAATATTGTTCTAAGGCTAGTTTCTGAAATTTTGGGTTTGTTTTTCTGGTGTTGCAAAATTCTTTGAAGGGTTTACATTTGTGGACGTAATAGCTTGAAGAAAAACTGGGAAAGTATAAGGGTCTTATACTCTTATTGTAGCCTTTTATGACGTTCATTTATAATCATGGGTGTATGATTTGTAGTTCAATTCATTCATATGTGTAATCAGATTCATGTGTTTCTATGGAATTATACGTTGCAAAGACAAATTGTATTCTCTTTGTCCGGAATTATACACACACACACATATATATAAAATTTAAAAAACTAAAATACATAATGATCATCCTCCATAATTTTATGTATTTTCCTGATAAAAGTAAATTTGTAGCTACTTTTGCAACCGTATAAATAAAGATTAAAAAAGGTGTGCTTCATCATGGTAGAGTGGAAGGAGTAATGTCATTCTTCTTTTTTGGGGTGAAAAATCTTTTCTTCAGCAATTACTTCTACCTTGGGCATTTTTATGCTTGATTGATTCTCTTTTCCCCTTCACACTTTTAAATAAATGTGATTTATGATTAAGATTGTAAATATAATAACAAAGAAAAGTAATTAATCCAATGAGATCACTTATATTGAGTTCATCTATAATATGTATTTCGGGTTTGTTTCATCATATTGTTAATCGCTACGAAGCAAAATAATTCTTTTGAGATCAATTATTGTAAAAATTTTTAGGTACGCAATACATATAGAGAAAAATTTAGGCTAATGTTGAATTCATCAATAAAACGGAGAAAAATTTATTCACATAAAAAAAAAAAAAAAAGAGTCGCGCTAAATCCATCATCCATCGAGTTTTCTAGAAATTAAGCTATTAGTAAATTTAATAAAATCGAGGGATGGAAGTATAATTACAAAAGAATCCTAAACCGTTTTACTGAATTCGTTATTTTGTTTACCAGCAGTTTACTCGACGTTGACTGAATTGTATTTCTTTTCTCCCCTTCTCCTTCTTCTTCTTCAGTTCATCTTCTATATATACATTAACCATACAGTTTCTTGCTCCACTTCTGAATTTCTATTTTCACAGCTTGGTTCCAATTGATATTGTTTTTCCCACAGAATTTAGTATATTGTGTTTGCCCATTTCGTTCCCTTTTTGATTTCTTCAGCATTTTCCACGATTTGGGTTCTTTTTCGTTTGCTCTGTTTTTTACGTTGCATCAAGAAAATGGATAAAGGCAATAAGCAGAAGGAAGGAAATCAAGGAAAAGAACCAGTAGGATCAATGGGGCGTCAAGATTCTTCACGCAATAATCCTCCTGTCAATGAAGAACACCAAACCGTCTCCAAGAACCCAGCTGAAGTTCATCCTGGTGGTTCTCGCATTGGTAATTTATGAACCCACACTCTTTTCTTGAAATTTTTTATCCCTTTTTACATGAATCAATTACAGTTTCAGCGACCCATTTCATCGATACAGTAATTAAAGGAGTGGAAGTTGTTGTAGTTCTTTCTGGATAATTGGGTTCTGAATTCTTTCAATTTAATTCTTGCAGGAAGTAAACTCTGCCCAACTTCTCATCGTGGTGATGCATTATCTTCTTCTCAGAAACTTCCTGTTTCGCAGAGCACAGGTATTTTTTTTTCTTGTTCTTCTTTACATTACTCTGTTATGCAAATCTTAAAAATTGGTTTTGATTTTGTTCTTTACATTTCTCTATCATTCAAAAATCGAATTCTGCTCTCCGCTGGATTTTGAGCTTCTTTGAACTAAACAATGATATTATCTTGGTCCCCTTTTCTGATTCAGGGAATTTTCAACCCGTTTCCTTTTTTTTTTTTTTTTTAATCAGTTTCGGCTTCTTCAAAATCATAATATATTTAGTTATTTAATTGGATTGAATGCCCAGTAATGGTTGTTGAGATTGGGTTCCACCAAACTCCATTTCATAGAAATTTTGCCCTGTTCGTAATTTTCAGATATATAAATGATCTGTTCGTTGATATGTCTAAATAGTAAATTTCTTGACTTGTTACGAATTAGGAAAGAAAGTTTGATACTTTGATTGTCACAGGTCAAAGTCTGATCATGGGTGGAACTAAAGCAGAAGCAATGGGATTGCAACATTCTTCCTCCCAGAGAGGAAATGTAAAACAGGAAACTTTATATGCTGCTAGAAACGTGAACTCACAACCCACAACATTTACTCAGACAGCATTATCAAATTTCAGAAAGCAACAAATCAAAGACTCTTTGGCATACATTTCTGCAAACCACGTGGAAAGATTGTTTGAGGAAGGAGAATTGGAGAGTTACATGGAGACTTTCCAAATTTATGATACAGACAGGTTAGGGGTACTCAAGAAAGACCAGTTGCTACACTATTTGAGATCTATTGGGTTTATTTTTTCAGAATATGAATTGGAGCATCGGTTGAAACTATTTTACCCCGAAAAAGCGCAAAAGATTCCTTTTCTCGTGATTATTAAGGTAATAGTATCATACCAGATTGACAAGGAATCACAGATCATACAACGTCCTCCTAAAAATCCTTGACGTCCGAGAAGGAAGCCGTATGGCAAACAGTAATGGACTAATGGCTGGTGCATCTTCTGTGGGGTCTTTTTCTGAGGTTTTTCTGTTGACAGACACAAACATGAGCTTGAAGGAAAACTGGGAGCTTCAGGTGTTTGGTTCTTCTGAGCTTACAGAGCCTTATACTGATTTCTGATAGGTCTTCTGCAGTTCATTCATTTCATTCATGCTGTAGGTTTTATTTGAAACATGAAAGATACATACGTATTTTTTGATAACCATCTTTGTTATAGTCTTGTCGAACTGGTTGAAAGCATTTCTGTACCTTTTTCTTCTCCTTCTCGATAAATTTATCCAAATCAACTGTAAGGACCAAAAAATTAAAATCCGTACGTAATCAGTTCTAAAGATCAATCTCAAAGATTCAAAAGCCCTGCATTAAATCAAAATCCCTGACTTGCAAAACAGGGGATTTCTTAGTAGAAGAATTTATTAACCACATTCTGAACTTTTCCAGGGATTACTTCTAGTGTGTTACAACAAATCATCCAGAAACTAAGAGCTACTACGTACAGCTTCCATTAATTTCACAAGCAAGTTCTATATAAAGAAAAGAATAGTATACAAAAAATGTTGAAGAAATTAAAGGAAACGAACTAGGCAGTAAATTCTGAAGTCTGAAGATTTGAGGAGATTGGATGAATGGGAATGAATTTGTAACAAAAAATCTCAGCACTAGAGCAACAAATTCCAATCATGAATCTCTCTCTATACGATGAACTGAAGAAGGCAGAAAAAAAGAGTACTGAGTCAACGCCTAATCAGCTTTCTTTGACTTTTCACTGCCAGTACCTGCGGGTAACAAAGGTAAATTACACAGCCGCCCATTCCTATTATTGAAAGCACAAACCAGCCCGTGAAATTAATAGCTCTTTGGATTTAGGCTAGGCATCTGCTTTGGTAATTGGTCAATTATGTCAGTTGACATTTGTAATGTTAGTTTTTCTAAAAACGTAAGGCCTTCGTTTACTAAACTCATCTCCGTTGTAAAAAATAAGTTAGCTAAAACAAACTATCCCTTTTACCCCATTAAAGTAGAAAATAGGATGGTGATGTGGCAATTTCTTATTAAAAGGTTTTGGCTCCAAATGCACCATATTGCATAAACCATTCTGCCACGTGTCACCCTCTTTTAAAAACAAAAAATATATTTACAATATTAACAAAGAGATCAGATGTCCATGTTCATTCAAATTTTGAATTTGACAGTGAATGGAACTTTCCTTCTCCACTTATTTTGGATTTTTGAAAAAATTAATTTTCGACCAATCAATTATCTTTATTAAAAACTAAATTCATTCCTAATCAGTTTTGATTATTTACATATTAATTTATTAGGTGGGAGGACGCCTCCGGGCATTTATTCATTTCTAATCAGTTTTAATTATTTACATATTAATTTATTAGGTGGGAGGACACCCCCGCGCATTTGTCCGGGGCAAGCATCTAGTTATATATTATATATAATAGGTTAGAGTCATTATGTTATTCATGGGAAAGAAAAAAAAAAGAATATTTATGGATAGAAGTATATATTGATAATACTGGTTGTCTTATTGTCGAATCTTCTTATAAATATACAACGCAAATAAAATCATAAGATTGCATAATATTATTTAGCTAGAAATAGTTTCAAGTGGGAATATTGGTGAAGACCGACCTTTACTAATTTTGATTATGAAGGCTCGATCTGATCGATGAGCCGAAGATCGGGAAAAATAGTGATTTAACTAGTGTACTACTGATGGTAACACAAATATATCACACAAAATCTTGAGATAAAATGTAACCTTTGGTATCATGAGAGTTTTATTTTCAAATTAACAAGGACGAAATCTCACATATTGAGTTGCATTGTGTCAAAACAATCCCCGCATCATTATAATTTTATACTCCCTCTGTCCCAAAATTATTATCCAATTTGAGATTTCATTTTTAATATAATTTGAACTAAAAATGAAAACTCAAACTGGACAATAATTATGGGATGGAGGGAGTAACATATACATACCCCTGTGCTTGCTTCAAAGACTGTCTAGAATAACTACCACCATTTGAATCAACGCATTAAAACGGACCGGGTAGTCGGAAAAAATGAGGTTCAAGAATCATTGAATCAATCCATGAATATTGCTAGAAGTGAAACTTTCAGTTCTGGTACTACTTGTTTGGTCCTACTCCTAATCAAATATCTCCAAGATTTCTCATTGGTTTTTCTGCCATCATTTCCGGAACTCAATTAAATCAATTTTTACATTCTTAGAATGCGAAACTATAGTTGATTTTGCAGAGTGAATGAGGTGGAAGACAAAAGAGAAAAAATACTGTAGAAAAGATAAACCTATCTACATGATATGGAAATTTTTTTGTTCTTTTCTTTCTTATGGTTCATGCTGTATCATTCACTTCCTAATGCTGCTTTTTGAATGACAACCACTATAAATACGACGTGCATGTAACAGTACCAAATGAATACACTTGGATTAGGGTTTGATGAACAATGTTGGGACGGTGAACAAAATCTAAGTATACTATAAACTACAAAGGCTATTCAATTAATTAGTAGGCTTTTACAAAAAAAAATAAAAAATAAAAATTTAATTAATAGGGGGAAAAAAAAATGATGAGACCAGGGTTTCCAGAAATGAAATGAAATCCACTCATGTGATTGAATGGAATAGGCACACCAGATTGGTTAATTGAATAACTAATGTATAAACGATTTTTCCCACTTTCCTTAAGAAGTAGCAGCAACATTATTCTTAACACTAATGTTATTGCTGATCAACCTCCTAAGCTTGAAAAATCCAATTTCGGGCTTCAAATGATACATAGAGAAGAGAGGCCTTTTTTTTTTTTTTTTTTCCAACTTTCCCCATTTCTCCCGTTCACCTATTTATATTGCTATTATTATACATTTTGAAACCTAAAGGGAGAAGGGATTAATGTATTTACGTCCAATTGTGATTATATTTTGAAACTTCAATGGAGAAGGATTAAGCTATCTATCTTCAAATTGCGAAAAGGACTTCGAAACTGATTAATATTTGATAGTCATAGACTCATAAGAATAGCGACTCGCTTCCGATTTTGTCAAACTTTTTTTTTTTTTTTGAAAACTTGAAATTAGATATAAAAGAATGGAAATTTCTACTATTCCGGATTATCCGAACATCTTCCACAATAAGCAATATAAAATTATTTAGAAATTCTTGGGAAATGATAATAATATAATTAGAATTGCATTAGTCTTTGGTCTTGTCATACCCTGCAGTGATGCTCAACCCGAGAATCTAATAAACAAAAGACTACTAAGAATACCTTCACTATTTCCAGATAATACATTCATACTGAAGGAAATATAATTAGAAAAATAAAAGAAATACAAAATCCTGTATAGATTAAAAGATGAACATTGAGCTCTTGTACAACTGTGGTGACCCAAATGTGATGCATCAGAGCGGTTCCTTGAATATCCTATGGTTTAAATTTAGAGTCATTAGTGACTCAACAAAGACGTTCAAGAAAAAGAAAAAGTCCATCAGTCAAGTTACTACTAAAATATTTATTAAAACAACAAAACCCAATCGAAAGTGAAATTTTGTATAGTTGCGTATGGTAGGCTAGTATATTATTCTGAGCTAAGAGTAAAAATTCGTGATCAAAACATGGAATAATCCCAAACCAAAACTCATTCAGCAGTTTCGTAGGCTCGTAGTACTAGTACAACTTTGCCAAAGGTAGCCCCCAAAAGCATTTCTTCTTATAAGTTGTTCTCCATGATTACCGTAATCTTGGTGATGGGGTAATGCTTCAAAAATGCTAATCAATAAAGAAATAAAATACTTGACTAGTGCAAATTACATTGTTTTAAAGAAATTATTTTGGTGTAACGAAATATTTCGGTAAAATAAAACAAACTTTTCTCTTTTTAAGTTTAAAGGGTACATGAAGTAACAAGTATATAGATCTAATATTTAAGTGGGATTAAAAGATGAAAAGAAAGATTCAAGAAAAGTTTGTTGAAGGGATGCCTTTTGAAATCCATGAGATGACGCTATTTATAGGCTATACCTTTCAATTCAAAAGAATCTCACACGGTGAAAATTCTACTTTTAATGTGAAAAATTAATTTCAGCAATCTTTCTCATCAATATATGTGTTTTTAACTCATGAGCAAAGATGAGTTGGTTAAAGAGAAAAGATCAGATCAATTTCATCTTTGCAGTAATGAAAAATACATAAAACTTTGAATTAACTCTTTGAGCAAAACGTAAAGTTTAGAACTTGGTTGAAATTAGTTTCATAAAATTCGTCCATATTTTTAAATGATCTTTTGGAATAAATCAAGTCAAAACACCAACAATCTCCCATATATTTCAAAAGATTTTTAGTAAAATAAAAATTGTATCTATAAGATAACAATACACCAGTTTGGTGTCTTTTGGACTTGAACCAAACCTAGATTGATAAAAAATGGCATACAGAATCACTGCTGAAATAAATTCCTTGAACCAAAAAAAATTCTTTGTTGTATAACAGGTTTTACCAACCACATTGCAACCCACAACTTGTTGCCAACGCGTTTTATGCGCATTATTTTGGCCGTGCACGTGTTTGGTAATTCATGAGTGCTCCAAGGGTTCGACCAATAAAACCCTATAGTAGCGGCCTCACTCCACTCTTATATAGGTGATTTATCGAGTGTACACTGCTTTAAATACACCATCCATAAGAAATATAAATTCATTAAGAGTTTAAAACTCATCATTCTAATTTAGGTACAGTTAAAGCATTCATCACATAAAAGTGCAACAGAACCAATTTTGACTTGTTATCACCTATTAAACCTAATTCATGGGGTCTCCAATCACATAGGTTGGGTTACTATCTTTATTGACTTCAAGTTGGTCTAAACCCCATCTCATATGAGATTTGAAGAACTATTTTTCTTCCATCAGGTTTAATCAGTGGATTAGTCAAATTAACTTTTTACTTCACATACTCTGTGAAAATAATTCCATCTCTGAGCAATTGTCTCACAATATTGTGCCTCAATTTTAAATGACTTCTTTTTGGATTATATGATTTATTCTTGGCATTGTAAATTGTTGATTGACAATCACAATGCACAAG